TGGGGAGAGAAGTGCTATTACTGCAATAGAAGGGATTCCCAAGAGCACAGTACAAAGGGTCGGAAGAGGGTACCACAGGGATCCTCAGGAGACTTCTGCGTTTAGAAGAGGAAAGAAATTCTCATCATGAAAATAATAAGTATATAAGGTAATACAGTTTATTAATTAGCTTGATTTACCCAGTCCAGTACGGTCTGTATATATATTTTGAAACATCCTATTGTATACAATAAATATATATAATTTTTACTTGTTGATTTAAAGATATATGTTATTTTCAAAAGCCTAATTCCACTCTGATAAAAACAGAAGAAAAAGAGACAAGGAAAGAGAAATTTTATTTGCCGTTAATGTAAGGATGTCAGACTTCTTTCTGAGGAAGCCAGAAAGAGTGGCTCAGCAAATTCAAAACACAATTATTTAAAGGGAAAGAGAGGCAAAATTATCAGGGCACTAAGTTTACATCAGCCTGTTGAAAGTAAGAAAAAAGCCACTTACTCGCACAGGTATCATATATGCAAATATCATTCATGTTAGCCAGGCACAGTGGCTCAGAACTGTAATCCCAGCACTCTGGGAGGCTAAAGTGGCTGGATCGTTTGAGCCTAGGAGTTTGAGACCAGCCTGGGCAACATGGTGAAACCCCATATCTGTAGCAAAATACAAACATTAACCAGGTGTGGTGGCACGTATCTGTAGTTCCAGCTACTGAAGTGGGTGAATCACTTGAGCCCAGGAGGTCGAGACTGCAGTGAGCCATGATTGTGCCACTGCACTGTAGCCTGAGCAACAGAGTAAGACCCTGTCTCCAAAAAATTAAAAAAAATAAAAAGATCGTTCTTGTCTTTAGACATCAGCATAGCAAAAGTCAGGGATAGTATTATTTAGTGAATCCTGGTTCACTGCAAATTTTTAAGGGTTTGTTATTATTATTATTATTATTATTTTGAAATGGAGTCCTGCTGTGTCACCCAGGCTGGAGTGCCATGATGGGATCTCAGCTCACTGTAACCTCCACCTCCTGGGTTCAAGTAATTCTCCTGCCTCAGCCTCCCGAGTAGCTGGGATTATAGGCACCCACCACCACGCCTGACTAATTTTTGTATTTTTAGTAGAGACAGGGCTCCACCATGTTGGCCAGGCTGGTCTCAAAGTCCTGACTTCAGGTGATCCACCTGCCTTGGCTTCGCGAAGTACTGTGATTATAGGTGTGAGCCACCGTGCCTGGCTAGGGTTTATTATTTTTAAGACCAGAACCAGTCAGGATGACTCTCTTCTTTTAAGTCTTTCTTAAGAGTGTGAAGTGGTTTTATTTTGTTTCTAACTATAGTATGTGATGTGCTCAATCATATTGGAAGCAGAACAAAGCTGAGTTTTGCTTCTGTAGGAGATTAGCAATGGCCTGGGCCATTGGGGCTCCTATGAGTCTGTGTCATCACTCAGGTGTCGAGGCCTTATTAGGTCACACAGCAGACTGGTCCATAATTTCTAACCTTTCATTTGGGCTCCAAATGAAATACTGATGAGGAGTCCTTGCAGTACTTAGAGAAGGTAGAGCTGAAACTCAAGGGAAATCCTACTCAAATGGTTACAGAAAGGTACTGTTTAGCTCAAAGATCACTTTCTTAAGGATTTAGCAGTAGTCCAAGTTAAAAACCTCAGGCTTCATCTGCTGGCAAATAATACATAAGGTATTTCTAGGCTTCTCCAGAAAGAAAGAGTCAAAATCTGCAGGAAATCACTAGCTGCTGCAATATCAATCAAATTAAAACTCCACAATTGGCAATAGATTGGGAATTTACACATGGGCTCTATAGAATAGCTGGACTTTGAAGCCCCGATCTTCCTTTTGGGATCTTTTTCTATTGCTATCGCTGCCAGCACGTTTTTCATAAACTGTATTACTTTTTTGTAGTGTGGGGCGAGGGGAAGGAGTGGGAGAGGATCTCACTCTGTTGCCCGGGCTGGAGTGCAATGCTGCAATCATAGCTCACTGCAGCCTCGACCTCCCTGGGCTCAGGTGATCCTTTCACCTCAGACTCCCTAGTAGCTGGAACTGCAGGTGTGCGCCACCTGTAGTTAATTTATGTATTTTTTGTAGAGATGAGTTTTTGCCATGTTGTCCAGGCTAGTCTCAAACTCCTGACCTCAGGTGATCCACTCACCTGGGCCTCCCAAAGTGCTGGGATTACAGGCGTGACCCACCAAGCCCATCCATTATCACCTTTTATGAACACAAGAACACAAGTCCCCACCTTAATTTCTGGCAGCATAGTTGAGACCTTGCTGGGTGTCCAGACTGTAGTATGCATAAGAATAACCTGCACTGTGTGTTTAAAATGCAAATTCCTGGCTGGGCATGGTGGCTCACGCCTGTAATCCCAGCATTTTGGGAGGCCGAGGCAGCTGAATCACTGCAGGTCAGGAGTTCAAGACCAGCCTGACCAACATGGTGAAACCCCACCTCTACTAAAGATACAAAAAATTAGCCAGGTGTGGTGGTGTGTGCCTGCAATCCCAGCTACTCATGTGGCTGAGGCAGGAGAATCGCTTGAACCTGAGAGGTTGAGATTGCAGTGACCCAAGATCCGCCATTGCACTCCAGCCTAGTGACCGGGCGAGATTTCATCTCAAAAAAAAAAAAAAAAAAAAAAGTAAATTCCTTGGTTCCACACCCAGATATTAATGTTTTGAATTAGTCAAATATAAGACTGAGAATGGATATGTTTAACTATTTCCGTGTGATTCTAGCGGAAACAGTTCAAACACCACATTTTGAGTAACATTGACCTAAATAGGACAGAATATAGAAAAGAATATATTGAAGCCAATCTGAAAAGGCTACATACTGAATGATGTCAAGTATATGACAGTTCTGGAAAAGGCAAAACTATAGAGACAGGAAAATGATCAGTGGTTGCCAAGGGCTGTGCAGAGGGAAGGTTGAACGGGCTAAAGCACAGAGGATTTTTAGGGCAGTGAAATTATTCTGTCTGATACCATAGTGGTGAATACATGTCACTACACATTTGTCCAAACCCACAGAATGTGCAACACGAAGAGTGAACCCTTATGTAAACTACGGACTTTCGTGGTCATTATGTGTCTGCATAGATTCCCTAATTGTGACACATGCACTGCTCCGGTGGGCAATGTTGAAAACTGGGGAGCTGGCATGTGTAGGGGCAGGGGGTAATGAGAACTCTCTGTACCTTCCTTTCCATTTTGCTGTGAACCTAAAACTGCTCTAAAAACAGCCTCTCTCTCTCTTTTTTTTTCCTCTCTGTTGCTCAGGCTGGAGTGCGCAGCGGTGCGATCTTGTCTCACTGCAACCTCCACCTCCCAAGTCTCTTGCCAGTCTCCTGCCTCAGCCTACTGAGTAGCTGGGATTACAGGCGCACGCCACCATGCCCAGCTAGTTTTTGTACTTTCAGTAGAGATGGGTTTTTACCCTGTTGGCCAGGCTAGTTTCGAACTCCTAAACTCAAGTGATCTGCCCATCTAGGTCTCCCAAAGTGTTAGGCATGAGCCACGGCGACCAGCCCATAATCTATTTTTGAAAAGAAAATATATAGATGGTCTGATTTACAACACAGATCTGACTCGTTTGCATGTTGTAGTCCTTGTTGCTGGATGGGCAGAGATCACCTTCCCTAACAGTGAGTAGTGCCCTCAAATGTCTCCACTTTCTTTCAAATATAGTTCCAAGACAGAGCCCAGAAAGAAACAGAAGTTCTCCCTATGGATTAAATTTCCATTTCTTATCTAAGTTTCACTTTCTTAAAAGAGAAATAATCTGTTCTCTAGAACTGTATATAACTCATCCTCCCCTTGCAAGGCAATTGGCCCTTTCTAGAGTTAGAATGCAGCATCCCCACACAAGATACACAGCTCATATAGCATATAGGTCATTTAGCCATCCACAACCACTATGAATTATGAAAATTAAGGGTACTTTATAATTGTCACATTCCCCCAAATCTGTATTTTTCAGTTCTAAATGTCCGTATTAATAGTCAATCTAAGGCCGGGCACAGTGGCTCATGTCTGTTATCTCAGAACTTTGGGAGGCTGAGGTGGGCAGATCACTTGAGGTCAGGAGTTCGAAACCATCCTGGCCAACACTGTGAGACCCCGTCTCTACTAAAAATACAAAAATTAGCTGGGCATGGTGGCATGCACCTGTAATCCCAGCTACTCGGGAGGCTGAGGCAGGAGAATCACTTGAACCCAGGAAGTGAAGGTTGCAGTGAGCCAAGATTGCACCACTGCACTCCAGTCTGGGTGACAGAGCAAAACTCTTGTTTAAAAAAAAAAAAAAAAAGACAAAAAACAGAACAAAACGAAACCCACGCAGTTAATTCAAGCTGACCTTTGCCAAGCCTAGGTCAGTTCCTCCTCACATACAATAGTCTAGCTTGATGTGAATCTGACTCCTATAATTGCCCCCTGCTGTCCTGTGGGACATAACTCCTGATACTTCTGAGATGTGATCTAGACAATGAATACTTCTCCAAAGGAAACAATAAATTTGCAGAGAGATAAAACTGCCTAAATCATGCTGAATATGTGGCACAAAGAGAACCAAGCCCTCCCCATTCCCAATCATATATATAGGAAGTGCAGACTTTTTCGACAGATAGCAGGAACAAAATATGCACAAAACATAAAAACACTCTGTTTTTGTGGTTTTGTACTTCAGTTTTGTACTCGATGTTTCCTGCTTCTGCAGCTGTTGGGTGTATCCCTCCTCTTGTTCCGGTGATGTAAATTAAAAAAAAAAAGCGTCTCAAAAAAGAATAAAGAAGTACACACACAAACTTACAACATCCCACTGAACATTTCAGATTCTTAGATCCCCGTTATGTCAACCCTTTTCGTTTTAGAGAACGCTTTTGCCTTATATGTGCAAAACCAAATCTGTCCAACCTTGCTGCTTTTGTGGAACAAAGGAAGTATACGCTAGTGTACTGTCTCCAGCTTTGCCAGTCTAAGGGAAAAGCTGCTTGTAACTCAAAGCCAAATCCTCAAGGTGTTCTAGCTCAGAGCCAGCCACAACAGGAAGGGGAAGTACACAATATCTTAAACTTCATATAAATTTTGCTGTTCTCTCCTTATGTCCCTACATCTCTCACACATCATTGAATCTTCTCACGGGGTAGAGCCTCCGTGGAAATGCAGGAACCAGCTTCTGGATATCTGAGGTAGGGGTCCCCTTAGATTCTTCCACAGTGGCCGAGCAGCCTCCTACCTCCATACAAGTCAAAGTCCCCATTTTCCTCTGCTCTGGTTGAAATTTTCACGAAGTGCTCCTCTGGAACTACAGACCTGCTGAGCCTTTCCCATGGCCTTCTATGCAGCCAAGTTACTTTCCCCAAACAGGACTCTTAAATTCTAATCAGGGCTTGAGAAACTTGGCCAGCAGCCAGGCTGTGATAAACAATGTTTTCAACAGGACACAGAAAGGCCAACAGAACATTTCTAACCAAACATAATTAAAGCTATAATGTAGTTGGAAAAAAAAAAAAAAGACTAACCATTCCTTCTTAGAAAACACTGAACAAAGGCCAAACCCTATTTTAAAAAAGCCCCTCCCTGGCTGGGTGCGATGGCTCAGGCCTGTAATCCCAGTACTTTGGGAGGCCGAGGGGGGCGGATCGTGAGGTCAGAAGATTGAGACCAGTCTGGCCAACATGGTGGAACTTGTCACTACTAAAAATACAAAAATTAGCTGGGCATGGTGGCAGGCACCTGTAATCCCAGCCACTCAGGAGGCTGAGGCAGGAGAATTGCTTGAACCTGGAAGGCAGAGGTTGCAGTGAGCTGAGATGGTGCCACTGCACTCCAGCCTGGGCGACAGAGTGACTCTGTCTTGGGTGGGGGGCGGGGAAGCCCCCCTGCTCCATGTTTCTGAGATATCCCATGACCAGTTCCTCCTCACTACAGCAAGTACAATAATGAGACTATTTTCTGTAGGTAAGGCCTGTGGTCTTTTCTTTGGTTGGTGAGCTTTAACTGGCTTTTATTAGCTCTGGGTGGCATTTTCAATTCTCAGAGTGGCTGTCCCATAGAATTGAAGTCTCCTAACCCTCCCTTCCCCTAAAAGCCACATTTTCCCACCTGCTTGATGGAACTCCCCAAGTTCCTTTTCTTTGCCCCAGGATAGAGGTTGTCTTAAGGAAAATACCCAGATAATGCTGTTCTTGGCTCCCAGTTACCCAGTTACCACTTTCTCTTCTCTCACAGATTGAGAACATCCACCATAGGGTGACTTTTTTGTCTGTCCTGCTCATCACCCTCCAACAGGGGTTTTTGTGGGAAGTGCCAGCCTTTCCCAGCCCTTCCTAGCCCTTCCCAGCCTTTCCCAGCCCTCCACAGCCCTCCCCAGCCCTTCCCAGCCCTTCCCAGCCCTTCCCAGTCCTCCACAGCCCTACACAGCCTTTCCCAGCCCTCCACAGCCCTCCACAGCCCTTCCCAGCCCTCCACAGCCCTTCCCAGCCCTCCACAGCCCTTCCCAGCCCTCCACAGCCCTCCACAGCCTTTCCCAGCCCTCCACAGCC